GCCTTCTCCACAGCCCGGCTGATCCGGCCCACTAGAGACCGCAGCTCTGGCCTAGTCCGGTAGCCGCCCGGCGAACGGGCAAGTGGCGTCGTTGCCGAGCCAGTAGAACAGCCGCGAGCAAACCAACAAGGAATGAGAGAAGACCAGCTGCCAGATCCGAGGAAGACGGTCCGAACAGCCCCCAAGCGAAAGCCCAGTGGCGGTTTTAAGCAATTCGCTAGAGTCAATAAAGTTTATTCAAAACAACGAGGAAGTTGAGGCGAATGGAGAAGGGAGAAATACGAGGTAAACAGCTACCATATTGAGAGTGGCGGCGTTACCGCGAAGAGACAAACGAACCGCCATTTTATGGGGGCCGGGCACGCGTGCTGACCGCGGTGGAGGCGGAGAAAGGCGAGCCTCCGGCTCCAGTTTAATATCAACAGGGGCGGAGCGCCACTTTGAGAAAGGGGGATGGTGCCCAGCTACCTTTGCCCCGAGCCTCTCTTCGAGGCGCCCAATCACCATTGGAGACCTTGAGCGAAGAGGCGGAGAAGCCGCCATCTTAAGCGAGGCAAGGGCTTGACTCCATTTTGAGTGGGGCCAAAAACTTCCTACCCTCCCCTTGCACGCTGGCAAAGAGGGAGTTAAATACCCCACGCCATAATAAACACACACTCTCATTCTCTTCTTCCCTCCTCCTCACCAGCCTTCTCCTATGAGAGGAGTTGACTCCAAACTGCAAAATGAATAGGTCTCTGAGACAGGCCTCAGGCAGGGTAGGGGCGGAATAGTCACAGCAGTTTGCACATATTGAGCACCTTCCTCAGGGCTTCTTCCCACGATCACTTTGTGACTTAATTCTTCAACTGTGAAGAAAGCACTGTGATTATACCTTAATGAGAACACCAATTTATAGAAGCCAACTGACTTGAGTTTCCAAGCCAGGAAGTTGAACCTTTCAACCCTGATAGCCGCCAGGTTACATCCCTCAATTTAGGTCCTCCCTAAGGCTTCTGCTAATTTAAGCCCCCTCTGAACTCCCCCTTTGCCTTTTTTTTCTCTGTACGTGAAATTGAGCTCAAGACCTTGTGCTTATCAGGAAGGCGCAGCGCCCCTGAGCTACATCACCCTGTTGGTTCAATTCAGTTAAGTGCGAGTATGTTTCGGGAATTTCCATGCACCTGTTCCATGATTTTCTGACCTCAGCCTCAGCAAGGGGTAGAACAAGATGAGCACTACACACGTAGTTCAGATTGCATGCCAAAGCAAGAGACAAGTTTGCATATAGATAAAATTGCAGTAAAAGTTCCCAGTAAACACAAATACCTCCTGCCAAGGGCAGGGGCACTCCTTTGATTGCCACCTCTTTGGGAAGCCTAAGACTGGAAAATAAATAGTTTAAACTCAGGAGTTCAGGGCTAGCCTAGGCAACGTAGCAAGACCACTGTTTCTTTCTTTTTCTTTTTCCTTCCTGGAGATCGAACTCAGGACCTTGTGGTTGCAAGGTTGCCACTGAGCTAAATCCCCGGCCCCTGTTTCTTAAAAGAAAAAATAAAATAAGAAAGCACAGCAGAAGCTGCTTGCTGTTGAGGGGAAGACTTTATAGAGATTTGGAGGATATATAGAATTTACCTAATAAGCAAGAACATTATACAAAGAAAGATCCACATATACAAATGCAGGGAGGCATATGGGGAAACATTTACTACAAGAAGTTGAACATTGTTGGAACAAACAGGAAGGAGAAAAGATGTGAGTAGGACTGGAGGTGTAGCTCAGGGTACAGTGCTTGTGTAGTGTGCGCATGGCCCTGAGTTTGATCCCTAACTGCCAGAAAAAACATGGGTAGGAGGTCAAAAAAGAGTTGCTCAAAAAAGACCGCAAAATTTAAATTTTATCCCATCAGTAATAAGAAACCAGTGAAGAATTTTCAGCAGGAGTATCACATTTGTGTTTTAGCAAAAAGGGTCCAGGCTCAATAGAACCTGAAGATTATTCAGTTTGGGGAGTATAGCTTTAGAAAAAGAAGATAGACTTATGAATACAAAATTAGCTTCAGTGGTGGACAGTAGGAGTATGTCTTAGAAGCAATTCCTACACCTGGGTAATAACTATGACTAGAAGTAACACACGCCACAAATAAAACGCGTGAAACCCAAACCAAATGCATACCTCAAATCAACTTCCCATTAGGTGGATCTCAAAAATATCTGAAGCAACGCTAACATCACCTAACGCAAGAGAAAGTGTAACCAGGTGCTCAATGAATAGGGACAGCAGTTTGAACCAACTGTGGTTTAAATATATTTTGCAAACTTTATAAAACATAACCACCATGTGACCATATAACAACTGACAAGTCCTGCAGTTTAAACTTTTTTAGCCTTGCAAGGAGGCAGGAGGAAGGATACTGATTCACTAGTCTGGAAAAAACACAAGTCTGAAAAAAAGACTAATCTGAAAGAAAGAACCAACATAGTTGCAGTGGGGATAGAAAAGGCTCAGATAATTAAATACTTTGGAAGTTGAATAGGGAGAGCTTGGGGATTAATTGAAAACACTGGGTAATGAGCAAAAGGTGTATGAGTTCAATGGGAAATGAGCAAAAGGGATATAAGTTCATTTGTGTGTTTTCAGAGTGGATTATGGTGCCACTAACTGAGCCAGGATACACAGAAAATTTAGTAGGGAAGAATAAATAAAGTTTAACTTGGAGTATGCCGAGTTAAGGTGTGTGGAACATTCTCACCAAACTTTTCTTGTTTTGTTTTTGTTTTTGAGACAGAGTTTCAGTATCAAGTTCAGGCTGGCCTTGAACTCACTGCGTATCCCAGGCTGGCCTCAAACTTGAAGCAATCCTGTCTCACCCTTCCAAGGGCTGTTATTACAAACATAAACCACTATGCCTGGGTTAGTCCTTTTTATTTTGATACAGGGTCTCACGTAGTACCTAAATTGCCCACTTTGAGCTCACACAGCCCGCCCCCCAGCCTCTTATAGTACTAGGATTACAGGCATGTGCCACCGCAGCTGGCTCACCCAACAATTCTTAAGCATCCACTATACCACACATTGTGCTCAGGATGTTGATGTATTCCAGATAAGGTCCTGGCCTTCATAAAGCTGACATTCTACTGGGAAAATCATCAGTGATCCAATAAGAATTCATCCATATATTTATTGAGCATCTACTACTATCCTAGGTGCTGAGGATTCAAGAATAAATAAAACACACAAGGTCCCTGCCCTCCTGTAACTCACATTCCAGCAAGGGAAACAAACAAAAAATATTAGTGAAATAAGGGAAATTCCATGCCAGGCATGGTAGTATATGACTCTAATCACAGCACTCAGGCAGAAGGATTGTGATGAGTTTGAGGCCAGACTGGACTACACAGTGAGTTCAAGAACAGGCTGAACCACATAGTGAGAACTTGTCTCCAGAAAAACAAGGAATTCCCATTTGCTGTGAGTTCTCTGAGGAAAATAAGACAAATTATAAAATAAAGAATTATCTGGACAGAAAGCACTCTACTAGAGAAGGTGATATTTTAATTTAAAGCTGAAAAGCAAAAATAACTAGGAATGAGGACAAAAGGAATCAAATTGTGAAAGCCCTGCATATTGGTGGGAAGACTTGGAGTGGTAGAGTGAAAATTGGAGATAGCACTCTGTAAACATGAATAAGAGACCCTGTGTGTACCCTTCAAGAGTATAAAATGTAATGAGGGTTGCAAGGTAAAATTAACAATAAAAAGATTGAAGAAAAGTAAAATCCTAAGTGATACAAAGCAGATACTAGTAACCTGTGTAGGAAAAAAGAGGAAGCCAAATTCAAACATGTTCAGTGGGAGTGTAAGGAAAGGCTTTGACAGAGTATTTGACCTAGGTACAAGGGTACCAACTGTCCCATAAAAGTTCTACTCTAGTGTTTTTGAGAGGTAGGGAGGGGAGCTAAAGGATCATGGGAAAGGAAGAGCTGTTAGGTTGCTGAACCTAAGGCAGTTAAAGTTTCTGACGAAAGAACTCCTGTCACTGCCAAAAATGGAAGGCATCTGGCTGCTGACCTGGAAATGTGTGGTCCCCTCTCTCCAGATGGAGTATGTGATATGAACTGGCCAGCGTAGTCTGAGGCTACCCTAGGAAGCCCTCCTATGAACTTCCACTTGCATACTTATAAGCATTTGATTTTTTAAAATTAATTTTATTGGTATGTTCATGATATACATAATGATCACATTCATCATATGGAATTTGTACCTGTATATATCTAGATTCTTCTTTTTTCTCCATTCCCCTCCTCTCTTCAACCCTCTTCTTCTCCTTATTTAAAAAGCTTTGTTTCCATTTTTCCTTTTGTTCTCCTTTCTTTTCCTTTCCATTATTTCTCCCTCCCTCCTCGTTCCCCTTCCCATTTGAACATTTTCTTCCCATTTCTCAATATCTGTTATACATTTTGGTCCTTTTTTACCCTTTTGGTTTCTCACACAAGAGAAACAATGCAATACTTAAACGTGTGTCTGATTTATTTAACCTAAAAGTATGGTCTCAAGGTGCATCCATTTACCTAGAAATGTCTCAAGCTTATCCTTCTTCATGGCAGAGTAGTATTCCATTGTATTTTTAAAAAAACACATCTTTTTTATCCATTCATCCATTGATGGGCATTTGGACTGTTTCCAAGATTTAGCTCTTACAAATTGTGTTTCTACAAACATGGGTGTGCATATGTTGCTGTGATGTGATACTTTTAATTCTTTCAGAAAGATACCAAGAAGAGGAACAGCTGGGTTAAATGGAACCTCTAGTTTTGGTTTTTTGAGGAATCTCTACACTGA